GTTTCAGCTGCAAATTCTTCATATTCATCATCAAATTTTGTCCACTGAGGAGAATCTGCTGGATGCCTAAGCTTACCATCTATAATCCTACCTTCGGAATGCCAACTAAATTGCTTTGCAGTTTCAGGACTGCGGAAAAACCTTCTCAACCTTGGTATAATTGGAAAATACCACATAACCTTAGCTGGTGTAGATTTTTTCTTGACATATCGTGACACCTTACACTTTGGACATTCTGTAAATGATTCATACTCATTTCAAAACAAAATATAGTCATTAGGACATGCATGGATCTTTTCATGAGTTAAACCAATGGAACCAAGGATTTGCTTTGCATCATATGTTCTCCTAGGTAGGACATTGTCTTCTGGTAGCATGTCATTTATTAAGCTTAACAGCTCAGTAAAACCCTTATCACTCCATCCATGTGAGGCTTTTAAATTGTAGAGCTTCAAAACGACACTCAGTCTTGTGAAATTTGGGCATCCTGAGTACATTGGTGTTTCTACATCATCTTTCAATCGCTCAAACATCCTTGGACAGTCTCTAAGATCTTCTTCAATAACATTGGGGATGTCTTCAACATGATCATTTTCCTCGAAATTTAATGTCTCCGAGTAAAAGCTATTTACATCCATCCTAAGTGACGAAATATCTCTTTCTATCTCACCGTGTTTGGTCCAGTTTATATATTTATCATCAATTCCATTACACATTAGATGTTCTTCCAACTCTTCAACATTTACTCGCATCATATTCAAACAACACCAACAAGGGCAACAAATGAGGTTTCGGTCATGACTATGGTCAATTGCAAATTGAATAAACTCCTTCACTCCATCTTCATATACTTTGCTCAAACGACCGGCTTTCATCCAACTTCGATCCATATTTGCCTGAGGCACACTAAATTTGTTACATCCATATGTTATCTACTATTTTTGTCTCACAGGGTATGACCCTATCCCATTTGAGAATAAAGTTTTCCATGTCATAATTATCATTTGTTAATTAAACATTATCATGTATACTTAATCTCTAATACAAAAACTATAAGCAAAAACATCATACATAATCTCTAATACAAAATATTTCACGGTCACACTAAACCATCTATATATCCTAGCCAACCTATATTCTATTTCAAAACACAATTTCAGATCACAATGTAGACAAACTCTAAACCCTAAACCCTAAAAAAAATATAATGCACTAACTGCCAATAAGAACGTCCTACAACAACAATGGCAAATGGACACTGGAACGCGATCTTGGCGACACACAAATATATTACAATGTAATATGCTTCAATGAGAGCAAGAGAATCAGAAAGATTGAAAATACAAAGAACGTACCTTTAGCTTAATGGAAGACGCAGAGAGCGAGAATGAGAGCGCAGAGAGCGGCAAAAAAATGCAGACACAAAGAGCGCGAGGTTGAAGAAAATGGGTTTAGGGTTTAAAAAAAATATGACTTTAGATAGTAGTTGGCCAAATAACCGTTATCTAAACTACATTTATTATAGCGGTCCCACGAAGTAACCGCTATCTAAAGTTATGATAGCATTTCCACGTGTCAACCGCTCTTTAAAAGTATGACATTAGATAGCGGTTATCACACAACCGCTATTATAAATTATTTCAAAAAGCGGTTCTTTCTGAACCGCTATTACAACATACTTTAGAGAACGGTTTACTCCTAACCGCTATCTAATATGTATTTTTAAAAGCGATTTTTATTAACCACTATCTAAAGTGTCGTCGCATAAGCCCATTTCTGTTGTAGTGTTTTGGTAACAAAACCAAAGGTTTCAAAAAAAATTTCACATATAGAAAATCAATAGCATCACTTTTTGTTACATGTTTTTATTGCATTAATAAGGAATCCTTGTAAAGTTTTGCAACATTAGGAAGCATATTGTACCTAAAGGTAAAAACAAATGGGTGCCTAAACATGCAAAACATCAATCTTGATCCCTTTGGACCCCAATATATATAAGGGTGCCAAACATTATATGGTTCATTCTTTCAGGTGCAACAAAGTGCAGAAAAAAGGTGGGTTCAAGATTAAGGTGCCACCATTTTATAGGCATGGTGATATTGAAGAATACCTTGAGTGGGAGTTTAAAATTGAAAAAGTCTTTGCTTTTGATAAGGTTAGTAAAGAGAAAAAGGTGAAATCAGTTTCTCTTGAATTTTTTGGTGGGAACAAAAACAAAAGGAAAGAAGAAGCAATGGTGAGTCTACAGTGGATACATGGGGGGAAATGAAATATGAGAAAGAGACATGTACCCTTACATTATCAAAAGGGGTTGTCTGAGAGGCTTAAGAAATTGAAGGAAGGAGGAAAGAGTTATAGAGACATATTATAATGAAATGAAGGTTGCCCTGACTAAAGTTGATATTAGTGAGGAAGGAAAAGAAACTATGACTAGGTTTCTATGTGGATTGAAAAGATAGGTAATGATTATGGTAGAGAAGAAACCATGCTTAGTGTTGTAAAAGCTTGTTCAAAATACCATTGAAATTGAAACTCACCTAAAAGGAAAGTCCAATCATTCAAAAGCCTTCCAATCTTGTCAATCCAAGAAATGGAAAAGTCATCCTAAGAAGGAGGAGAATGCACATAAAGATCAAAATTCTTGTAAATCTTATCTTGATTCATCTAATGTCATGTCTTTTGCCTCTAAACATAGGGATATGAAATGCTTCAAATGTCTTAGTAAAGGAACATTTGCATCTTAATTCCAAAACATTGCATCTTAATGCTTCAAATGTCTTAGTAAAGGAACGTCATTTTGGTCCCACTCCATTTTGAGTTTTATAGCACGAGATACAACTACAAGGTAATAAAAGTGATTCTAGTAAATTTGTGCATTTCTAACTCTACATAGATTCATTCAATAATTTCAGTAAGAGAATTTCTTATGATCAGTCATAGTTATTGATTAAGTTCACTTCAACCTTAACATGACCTCATAAACTAATAACTCAAATAAAACAATTACTTAGAAAAATTTTAGGTTGTCAAAAATGACTAAGTTATTCATATAATAAAAAGAAAATGATTGGACAATTAACTTATATAAAACTCATTCATCTTTAATAACTTCAAATTTTTGAAAACACCCAATTTATGTATTTTCTACCTAACACAAAATTAAAGAGAATAATATAAGATTAATGTCATTAAATATTAAATAATGCTCATTCTCATTAATAAACCTAAATACTCAACAAAATTGTTCAATTACTCACAAATAATTTCCTTATAACAATATTATTATTTGTTACTAAAAATATATATTGATATGAATCCAAAAAGTAGAATAACACATAATACTCTCTTATTTTTAAACACTTATATTCTCTCCTACTATTTACTACTTGATCATCAAATAACTTTAGTCAACATCATTTTTTTTCTATTTCGAATTTTATTCTCAATTATTATCTACAATTCCATCAATACACATTGAGATTTCCACTCATACATTTGTATGTTTGAGATGATCAATTTTTAGTAAAAACATGTCTTATTTACACTAAATTAATTAAACAATATTGGTTTGGGTCAAATAATTTTCCACGATGATACGTGAAACTTAAATTATTTTAATATTATAAGTTATATTTCTATCAAATTAACATGATGGTTATAAACTAATTTTTATCTTTTAAAGGATTTTTTAACTTTAAAACAATTGATAAATGAATTTAAAATATAGTAATTTTTTAAAAACAATAAAAAAGTGTATTTTAAATAAATTATAATAATAATTTTTATTTTTAATAATCTAAGCAATTTAATTTAATCATACTACAAAATTTAGAAAGAACATCTCTAATAATAAAAAAATTATGATTTTTTTACACATAAAATAATTGTGTTTTGTAAAATTTACATTGAAATGTCATAACTAAACTTTTTTAATTTTTTACCAAAATTTAATTCACTGTTAATTATCTTACTACACCTATTTATTATTCATATGTTATTTATTTTTTTCTCTCTTCTCTCATATTTTATTTTTTTCTCCACATTTACTTCTTTTTTTCTTTTTTTCATTCATTTATTATTTTTACTTTTTTTTTCATCTATTCTTCTTTATTTTCTTAATTACTATTATAATTTAAAAAATTATATTGAAATTTATTAAAAACATGTTAAAAATATTAAAATTAAAAAAAATATCAATTAATTATTTAAAATTATGATGTAAATAAATAATTTTATTTTTCATAAAAATAAATAATTAATTTAAAATTAAATTAATTACTCATCCAATTAAAAATATCAAATATTTATTATTTTTATTTGATAATTTAATCTAGTTATAATTAAATTGGATTATAGTGATAAGTTAGGTTAAGTAACTGTAAAAAATTATTTATTAAAATAAATATTTTGTTACTTAATTTGAAAAAAATATATTTTTTTATCAATTTTAATATAATATTTTAAATTAGAAAAATAAAATAGAGAAAAAAAAGAACAAAATTAAAAAAGGAAAGAAAGATGAGAAATGAAAAAGAAAAGAAAAACAAGAGAACAAACAAAGAGAGAGAAAATAATAACTACTTTCTGGTAATAATTTTATTTTTCATATTGAAATTTATGTACATAACAAAATATCTAATAGAATAATTTTTTAAAATATATTATTTATTAAATTAATTTAAGATAATAAAATATTTCAAAAGAGATCAATTATACAAAAAATATAAATATTATGTGTTTTTACTTGTTATAAAAATTACTTTAAGTAATAATAACTTTTATAATTTTTATACTATTTGTATTATAACTCCAAATAATTCTTTAAACAAAAATCTCCCAGTACTCCGACTTAAAAAAAATGATAAGTTTAATTTTTTTTTTGTAAGTTATAAATTATAAATTAATAAAAAATCAAAATAACTATACAGTGAGTGTGGCGCAGAGGCAATAAGGGAACCGGAAGGAATCAGATTTTGGAGGGAAAAAAGGGTTGTAGAAGTATGCCGGTAGCGAGGCGAGAGACTTGCGATGCAAGAGTGATTGCACACGTAGACATGGATTGCTTCTATGTTCAAGGTTCATTTCTTCTTTTTCTCATTCATGAACTAAATATTCTAGTCCTTCTCCGTAAATAATACCTAATTTGTGTGATTATAAGATAATGATGTTGTTTGGTTTGTGTAGTGGAACAGAGAAAGCAACCAAGTTTGAGGGGGTTGCCCACTGCAGTCATACAGTACAACTCCTATAAAGGTGGGGCTCTCATTGCTGTTAGCTACGAGGCTCGCAGATGTGGCGTTAAACGGTAATTTTGAACCAAACCCTTGATTTGAGAAGAAATACTCCATTCCACATGTCATGTGGGACTTCCAACACGCGTCCTCTGTCGGACAAGGGTATTTTTGCTTCATATTGAAAGGACAGCTCTTAGTCCAAAATCTAGAAATAAGTTAGATTTGACTCTGATTCAAGATTTTAATATAAAACCAACGGAGTAGTAGTGTAACAGATATTTAGTTTGAAAGTTAATATGATCAGTTAAGTCACTTGTAGGTGTCTTTGGACTAAAGGAGTCTCGGATTACAAATCCGGGAACTTTTGATATTTTGTTAATTTTAGAGATTAAAGTGACAATGAATCTTATTTTTTCAGATACTAAATTAACTATTTACTTTTTATTTTATTCTACTATCTGCTTTCATATTGACCTTATTTGTGTTTTTTCTTTCTCAGTTCAATGCGAGGTGACGAAGCCAAGGAGGCATGCCCGCAAATTCAACTGGTCCAAGTTCCTGTGGCACGTGGTAAGGCTGATCTCAACTCATATAGGAACGCGGGTTCAGAGGTATATGTGACTTGCATTTCAAAATGATTGTTTATCTTTGGAGTCATTCATTCCCTTGTGTTGAATTCTGCCCTATTTCATTTTTTTCAGGTTGTTTCAGTTCTTTCACATAAGGGTCTCTGTGAGAGGGCTTCAATCGATGAGGTATATCTTGATCTAACTCATGCTGCTGAATCCATGTTGATGGAAACACCTCCAGAATGCACGCAAGACTTTGAGGAAGAAGTTCTCAAGTCACATGTTTTGGGACTGGAAATTAAGGTCACAGGCTATACTTAAATATCTTGCCTTGTCCAGGGTTGCTTTATTAATAATATTGATATCAAAATTCTGCAAACAGGACTCAATGCACCTAAAAGAAGTGTTTGGTGGTTCAGAAGTACAACACAAGTTGACTCAAATTATTTTAAAATTTAACGTATAAAATATCAATGGAATAAAAGATGTAATTTGTAAAATAAATTTTTCTAAATTTATATACTAAAGTTATAAAGATTGTTTAATACTAACTTCAATATCATTACTTTTGATATAAATACTATATAATTTTATGAGAAATAATAAAATTAAATGCAGTATAACTTGAAATTTCGGTTAGAGTTTACATTTACCTGTTTACTGAAAATACCTGTCAAACTTGCTTGTCCAGTTCTATCCCTTTATCAAAGACCATTGATTATGACTATGTTTTAATGCACTTGATTATCTTACCTCATCTTTTAATTTCTCTTTTAAATTAAATAATGGCAGCACGGACATGAGAGTATATGGCCATACTGAAACTGATTTTTATTCAGGATGGAAGTGATGCCAAAGAAGAGGTTAGGAAGTGGCTTTGTAGGAGTGATGCTAGGTACCAAGATAAGCTATTAGCTTGTGGGGCTATCATTGTTAGTGAACTCAGGATGCAGGTGCTGAAAGAGACAGAATTCACATGCTCTGCTGGTATTGCTCATAATAAGGTAAAGGGAATCTTGGTATGCCCAAATATCCATATCCATATATTATTTGTCCTTAAATTTCTCACAACTTTCTTGCCAAGGTCGTTGATGTATTTTATATGGCCAATAACTTGTGTCTTATGCTTTTCCCAGATGCTGGCTAAACTTGCAAGTGCTATGAACAAACCTGCACAACAAACTGTTGTGCCACACTCATCTGTTGAACAGTTGCTTGCATCTTTGCCTATAAAGAAAATGTAATGTGATTGTATGTTATGATGTACTTCACTCATAATTAAATCTTATCCTATTTTGTCTGGAATTTACATTCTTTTCAAGTTTATGAAGATATCATATTTCAGCTTTTTGTGTAACTCTTCTAAATGTTTTGAAATTGCTTTGATCATGGTCTTTTACATCGTAAAACATGTTGTTGAAGAAAACTTGATTTATAGGAAACACCTTGGGGGAAAGCTGGGGAGTTCCTTACAGAGTGATCTTGGTGTCAGCACAGTTGGTGGTCTGCTTCAGTTTTCAGAGGAGCAGTTACAACAGTGGTATGGGATCAATACTGGGTGAGTATCTGTCTTTTAACATCATGATATATATATCTACTACCAAAATATCATTTGGCTATGACTTTGCTGATTTAATTTTCAGGATCTCTTATTTTAAATAGCATTTTTGTGTCATTATCTAGTTGCATGGCTTGTATTCCTGATTTGTATCTTTGTTCCTCATTACTGTCTATTTGATTGTCTTCGTTGCAATCTGGTGGTATTCCATTCCTGATTCTAGCTTTTACAGCACTAAAGTACTTGGTTGTGGAATATTGCAAGAGGAGTCAATGGGGAAGAAGTTGAAGGGAGACTACTTCCCAAGAGCCATGGTTCTGGCAAGACATTTCCCGGGCCTCAGGCTTTGAAGACAATTGATTCTGTAAGAGTTCTCTTATGAGCAGTTCTCCTTAGCAGGAGCACTTTATTTTGGGTGATGTTGTGCTCAGAAATTTAATACTGATGCACGATGAGAACTCCTTATGGTTTATTTCTTAATGTCTCTTGGATCATATATTTTTATTGCTCTCATAAATATTCTGTTTTATTTCAGAGTTTCTGTTGGCTGTCATTTGCAGGATGTGATTTATTCCTTTTTTTTTTAGTTTCACAAGCTTGTACATCTCTTTTTGTGATTCATTTTTTATCTTCAGGTTCAATACTGGCTTAATCAACTGTGTGAAGAGCTAAATGAACGCCTTCACTCTGACCTTGATCAAAACAAACGAATTGCTCAGACACTGACGCTACATGTTAGAGCATATAAGGTGGCTTTTCTTTGACTCATCTTTACATAATTCTCTTTTACTCAGAAAATTTCTCCAGTTTTTACTTTTTCTCTATTTCTGATTACCAAACTTTTCTTTTATCTTTTTTGGTTGTTTTATTTTATTTATATTTTGTTTGAGCTTTTATCTTGCAGATAGGTGATTCAGATTCACATAGAAAGTTCCCATCTAAATCTTGTCCTTTAAGATATGGGTCTAGAAAGATTCAAGAGGACGCCCTAATTCTATTTCAAGCTGGGTTGCGTGATTTTTTGGGCTTCAATACCTTTAAGGTTCATGGAAACGAAAATAACAACTGGGGAGTAACATCGCTTTCTGTTTCTGCAAGTAAAATTGTGTCCATACCATCTGTAAGTTAGAACTGTTTGGTTTTCTAAACTTTTTGACTGTGATTTGGGATTATCTTGTGCTTCCTCATATTGGATCACCTTAAAACATTGAGAAACATCACTAGCATTGAAATGAAATAACCTCTAATTATTATTAAGTATACTGATACTACTAGTATTTGGTATTTCTAAATTCAGTGTTTGTTTTATACTTATTAACATGAGCCTTGCAGTTTTACTCTCCTATATTAGGTTTGTCTTTGCTAAGGGGTAACGTTTAGGATCATATAATGGTATTTGAATTTACATACTAAATGGCGTTTGTGTCTAGGGTACACATTCAATTGCTAAATACTTTGGAGGGAAAGGGAAATTTCCATCCAGTTCTACATCGAATCAATCAGTAGATGTTGTAATTAATGAGACTGTACCATCATCATCTTCAGGTTTCACATCATCTCATTGGTTGCTTAATAATTAAACTACTCACTTTCTTGCATTCGACTTTAATTTGATGAAGGCTATATGCTTAAGCAGGTAGTGAAAATTGTACGGGAATGGTTCCCTATGATTTACAGCTTCAATATCTTGATGACACAGGAATGAAGCATTCGGATGCTTGCTTGGATCCACAGGTATGTCAAAGCAAGTTACATGTCACGGCCAGATTTCATGTAAAATATGTAATATTATTGACCATATAGAACTATGTCTTTTACAATTATTCGCAAAAGAGACATTTACCAGATGATTTTTATGTGGCAAAACTGCTAGGTGGGATAGATTTTGAAGGGTTCTAATGTGGCTAATATGAGGATCTGGTAGAAATATTTGATAGCAGTTAGAAGATTTGAAAATTCAAATTTCTCTGGAATCATGATAGATATTTTTCCGATTGTTGCCAATGTTAGTTTTCATTTTCCTGAGTTTTCTTCTTGGGTTAGAGTCTTAAAGCAAAAGGTATGACTTTCACTGAAATATTTCCTTAGTCGGCCTGTGCATAAGAGACTTTCAGAGAAATGAAAATTATGCTTTTACTACTAGATCCATTAAGAATGATGTACATTTATTTGGTAGGGTATCTCAGCTAAGAAGTTGGGAGCTAAGATCTCGAAAACAAACTTGCCCATCTGCAAGATTTTTTCGTAAATAAATTCAACTACAAGAGTTTGATACATATTCTCCTAACTGTTAATATTCAACGTGCATGTGCATCAGAATTCAGAGTTCAAACTCTATACACAAATGCTTCATATTTCAGTAATGATTCGTGCGGATTTATCTTTTTCCTTTACAGGATCCATTGAATCATTTATCCAGCAAAGCAGATGGCTTGACTGAAGAATCCATCCTCATGTCACCCTCAGGTACCGTGGAGTACTGGTTTTAGTTCTTCATTCTCTCTTCTCTCAGTTCCTTTTGAGATATGATCGTTTTTTCTTTCAGGAAGTGAAGACAGAATGGCACACGGTGAGCCACGTAGAGTTTTACTTGCAAAAGATCTCAGTCCCGTTTCAAATATCTCCAGTTTGAAAGCAGTTGGGAAGAAAAAGAGAGCAGCAGGAAAGAAGGTTCAAGTATGCTCTGGCACACTCTTTAGCTACTGATTGCATAATTTTACATATCTTAAATGCAATCATAGAATTAAAACACCTTCGAATCAGTTATAATCATGTGATACAAGGATCCAGGATGCCGAGTAATGTTCCGAATTCTGACCATAGTTAATTACAGAGCCAATTGCAGCATATAAATTTATTTATTTCAACAACTGGTAAACATTGGTCTGAGATCTGGTGTCAGTGCAGCACTTGTTCACAAGGTCACACACGGTTCAAAATTTTCTTGAATACTTTTCAGCTAATTCCAAAATAAATATGGCTTTAACTATTAAAGAAGGTATGAATACAATTTATGTTCAGCTACTACTTGCAGCATATCTTTATTGTGTGTTGAAAAGAAAAAGACTGATCCACTCGCCAACTATTTTCATGTTCCAAATAAGCCAAAGACAATCGTTTCGCACGGCTAGATGCTAAGATGCATACATAGATGCTGGAATTAATGGATGCTGTGATGCTTCAGTGGAGGACTTTAATGACATGTCATTACTGGCTTTTACATGAAAATAATGGGGATAATATCTAATGCTATGCAGTCTGATTGGACCTGGTTCAGTTTTCAGAATCTTGTCTCCCAATCTGCCTGTGCTAATTTTTAATATAATATAATAACATATTACTGAAGAAGCCTCGGATATGAAAATAATTGTTGTCATATCATATCAACTAATAAACTTATAGGTTATGCTGATATAACCAAAAGAGTAATAAATTCTAATAGCTTATGCTGATGATATAAAGATGTGGAGTTTCAGCCACGAATCTATTGCATTTAAGTTTTTAAAGCATAAGTTATTTTTCTGGCAGGAAAATTGTTCAATTATAAATATCTTCAATAATTACCATAATTCCCAGTCTTCGTTGAAGCTGAAGGTTACCAATGCCCACGATGTTAAAATATCATCAGCACTTGGTAATTTTCTAAGCCCATTCCTTTTATTATATTTAAGTTTCCATCTCTCTTTCTTACGGTAATATCATTAATACTGCAGGATCTAGTTCTGCTGATGATAGTTATTCAACTTGTAATGAAGATATTGATACAAACAAGGGTGGATGTAGTGTAGTGATACCACAAGGGAGGGAAGCTTGGTGTAGTTATCATATTGATGAGATTGACCCCTCTATCATTGATGAATTACCACCAGAAATTCAGCAAGAGTTTCGAACCTGGCTTAGGCCGCAAAAGCGGCCTAGTGTGGCTAAACCAGGTTCTAGTATTACTCACTATTTCTTACCTGACAAAAGTAGGTAAATAATTTTTTACTTTGTTTTAATGAACATATTTTGTAATACTTTATCAGGAATATGTAAGATAGCTGATTTGTGATTGGAAATTTGGTTGAGATTTCTTATGGAATCAGCGTGATGAACCTTGTGGTTTCGTTGTATGAGGATCTTGTCAGGATATTATGTAAATAATTTTATTATTTTCTCCAACCAATTCAATCAAAATTATTATCTTGGGTTGTCCGGTACAGGTGTGGATTGGGGGATTGGGTTTTTAAAAATCTAACCCATATTCATTCTACATCCATTTAATTGGATGAAATGAATTGGTATTTTTTTTAATGGTAAAATGGTCGGTTTGATATTTAAAAATATTTTAAGTTTTAAGTTAATTTTAAAATTTAAATAAAATAAAATAAAATAAAATCTTTCAAAGCTATTATATTTGATAATTTCAAATTATATTTTATTTTAAATTAATTTAATTGTTATATTTATTATTAGATAATTAAGATATTTTCTAAAATTAAATTGTTAATTTTGAGAGTGGGAGACATTATATATCATAGTTAAGTTCACTTGTTTGATACAAATGTTCAATAATTCTGAAATTATTTTTTTCCTTTTTTATGTATTCACTTGTTTTATTCCCCCTTCTAGATCTTGTGGCAATATGAATACGGATATTGCTTTGTTGTCTGTCAATTTTGAATATAATGACTTATACTTGTTATTCTATTTTCTTTAATATTAGATTTTAGAAAACAGATTATAATTTATGTAATAAAAAAGATTTATTGTAAATGTAACGATTGATGATGCTTCAATTGCGATGTTTTTCTTTGCAGAGTCTTTCCATGATTTTCAAGGACCGACAGTTAAATGATTTCATTTTCTCATTTTTTTTTTCACCGTTAGTCAGTCGTATCATTGACTCCTTTCATTTTAATTTAATCGATTGAGAATTACTTGCATATTCGAGAGATTAATTAACCTTTAAGGTTTGATTTTGATTAGGTGCGTTGAATGTCCATCTCTTAAGTCAAATTCTACTACGTATTAAAAAAACAAACACACACACACACAAAACATCAAATGGTATCCATTGAATTTCAGTAATGTGTCAATAACAAAGTGCAATATTGAAATATTTTTTCCTTTAATTGGTTAAATTGCACTTATAATTTGTGTGAATTTTACTAAAAAAATATTGTCAAAATTAGTCTAACTTTATGCCTTCAGTTTCAATTGCTTATATATTTCTTTTAAAAAAATTCACAATGTGTGAATGATTTTATGAATAAATTTCATTTATTTTTTTAATCAAATTAGGTCGATTAAAATATTTTAAAAACTAAATTAAGGTTAGCTTGTTTCTTATTTTATTTTCTAAAAATTATTATTTTTGTTTAAAACATGCATAATTATTTTTCATTTAGAATATTTTTAAACTAACAATTCAATTTTTTTTCATTTCATTATTGATTATTTCAACATTGTTTATATTAATTGTAAAGATACTATGTCTTTACGACAAAATAAAAAATATATTCTCTTATCAAATTTTTAAAATGGGACGATTTCAAAAAAACAATTACTAAATATTATTTTCCATCTATTTTTTATTACTTTTAACAAAACGTTTGATAAAATTAGCTTTCTTAATAATTTTTTAAGCATTTTTATATTAAATTAAAAGTAAATAAATTTAGATATTAAATATTATATAATATTATTAATGTATTTTGACTTTTATTTTCAATTAAAATTATATAATATTTTAATTTAAAATATATTTAACAGTTTTTCTTTTATAATATAATTTTTAACTTTATTTTTAATTTACTAGTTAAATTGAAATTCTAAAACTACTTCTTAAATTGCTCATTTTCTATAGTTTTTAAAATAAAAATAAAATAAATACTCATGTTTTAATACCATTCTTAAATGGTATTTTGAAAAAAATAATTATTGATTGATATCTAAAAATATATAGTTTTATTAATATAATCTAAAATAAAAATTGACAAAAAAAGAAAATAGCTAAACATCATATATCGTTATAATTTTTTAATTTGAGAAAGTTAAGAAAAAAGTGTCATTTAACAAAATATCTATATTAATTTATTAATTAAAATGATTTCACTTTTATTTTCTATCTAATGTGTTTATAATTTTTTATTACTTCATAAAATACCGTTTTCATAAAATAATTTTAATGAATTTTTATTTATTGAATTAAATGTACAAAAATTTATATATATATATTAGATAATTTATAATATTATCAATGTATTTTTAATTTCTATTTAAAATTAATTACTTTCTTTAAATTTAAAATATATTTCACAGTTTTGTTTTTACGATATCATACAATTAAGTTCTATTTAATTTATACTTAATGCCTAACTTTTTTTTATAGGGTGAATTAATCATTTCTGACCATTATAATTAATATGAGATGGTAAATTAAATCTATATTAACTTATAAATATACTTTATTATTTTTCAACTAAATTAAATTGAATAAATAACTAAAAAATTAAATTACGAATATAAATAAGTAATTATATAACTACAATATATTAGGGCATAAATACTTTATATAAAAATATTATATTAATATTTTAATTTTAACACATTAAAAATGTAAAAATACAAATACAACTATGTCTTCTCTAATAATAATGAAGTAAATTTAGATATTTAAATATTTCAAAAATCTATTTTAAAGATAATAAAAAGTATGTTATTATTATTTTCTCATTAAAAACATAGATTTATAATCTAGTTGAGTTGGAAATGAAATTAATAACACACATCTTACTATTAATCTTATGAACAAAATTTAGATATAAATTAATATGGTTATCAATATTATAGTGTATTGTTTTTATTAAAATATTGATTTTACAATTCTTTTGAATTTGAATTTTTTTTTTTTAGTAAAACAGTATAAATCACTAAGCTTGGATCTATGAGTGTATTGATGTTAATGAAATGAGGGAGTAAAATTGTGTTGAAATAATGTGTTTGTATATGCTGATTTGGAATGATTTGTGAAAAAAAGGTGTGAAACCCATGCACAGTAAAACTTCTCTTGTGTTGTGAATGAAAAAGGTGAATTCGACTGTTTTTTGCGGGAATGTCTATGTTACCCTCCTTCAACAACTTTTATGTTTGTCTTGTTGCATAGACAAACTAAACATTGTAGATTCCATTCCCCTCCACTCACAACACTTTAATTTCCCGCTAGCATTGCACAAGACATTAATAAACAATAAAGAAAGTCTACATTTGATAATGTTCATTGCCATGCGCATTGAACGTTGACATGACTCTGTTGAAGCTTTGAACACACTCATGAACCGTTTGCCACCTATAAGTACAATAATTGGCAGGGATTGGGCTTCTCATGCATTGACTGATATTGTATAAGGAGAACAAAGATATGCTTGTGATTGAACTTTGTACTGGTATGGACGATTGAGGGATCGAGTGAAGTGAAGGAACCATATCAGTACAGGAGAGGTAGTGCTGCTTTCACCCAACCATGTCCAGTCCAATAACTCACACGACCAGTTTTCTTCCACAATAGCTTATGATTTCATTTATTTAAGATGTCAAATTGCATGTTGCATTTGTCTGCATAAATTGAGATGGTATTCCTTTACGGTTAAACTGGTGTTGATTTACTATTCATATTTTTCATTGATACAAATTTAGGCCAACATAATCGATTATAACATAGTGTGTAATCGATTATGTTGAGGCCCATAATCGATTTTGAGTGATGACATAATCGATTATGTTGAACAGAATTCATCTGCTTAGTGCTTCTTAATTCGCTCAACAGAATGAGGTCTTTTTGTCTTAAATGCTACCATTCTCTCAGCAGATTTCTATCTGTTGAGCGTTTTTACCCTTTCAAAAGGATTTGCTCTCTGGTGCGAATTCGCTCAACGGATTCCTAATCGCTCATCGGTTTTCGAATGCCAGATGAAATGGTCCTTTATGTCTAATTTTCATTCAGTGGATACAAAATCGCTCGGCTGATTCTTAACCGCTCAACGGATTCTTAATCGCTCAGTGATTTTTGAACGTTAGATGAAATGGTCCTCTCTGTCTGGTTTTCGCTCACCGGATGAGAATCCGCTTAGCGCTTTAAGCCTAATGTTGCTTCTCCTTATTATTACATATATTTTGACACAGAACTTCATAAGTTTGGTTGTTGTACTCTTCAACACCCAAAATGTGAACTATTAGATACTAATGGGAGTTTTTATTACTGATTTCTTAATAATTAAGGAGATAAATGTCATAATTATGCATAAATATTTGACACTTATTAGAATAACAACATTGTAGAGATTGGTAGCAATAATAATTAATTACAATATAAATAATTGTCAAATCGAGTGCTTAGTTTAGATTTAGGAATAATATTTTTTTGCTATTTTATAAAATTTGTATATTTGGACATTAAATTTTAATCAAAACTTTATTATTATCGTTATCCATAATATGATATAATTAATTAAAATAAAATATTATTGTATACATAGGTAAAATATTTTAAGGATTTGAATTATGTTTTCATTGTCGTCAAGACCCAAGAACAAAGACACGGGTCAAAAAGTCGGGGGAATGAGGCATTGGCTAAATGTGGCCCATTTAAAGTATCAAGGTCAATAGATTGATCTTACTGACATCCTTGACGACTTGAGATACAATAGGGATGAGGCATTGGCTCCGATGGTTAGACCAGAACTACAAGTTCGGACTTGTAGGAATGCTGGTAGTTTGACCGTGGATAACAAACTTCTCCATTATATCTTCATTCATACGCTTAGTCCTCGAGGAGGAAATTATGCTCAAGTGTTATAGGATGATATATTTATGATTTGGTGCATAAAGAATCACATTTTGCTTAATTGACCTTATTATATTATCAGACATATGAGGAGATGTAAGGCCAATTGTATGCCTCTTTATGGTCTTCTAATCACTCGTATTCTACTACAC